TCATTTACAAATTTATGATATATCTGCACTCGATCAAAAGGTGGAGCGGTGGCATTTTTACGGTAGCAGCAGACACTGTCTATGCCGGTGTTCTCACCCTGATTCACAGATCTGGGAATGAAAAGACACATCTTGAGATATATTCAAAGAAGCTGTAGAAGACTTTGGATGGTTTCACATAGGTAATGTTGCACTTGGATCCACCTGGCAGGCCAAAAAGTAAAAAGTGAAGGCTTCCAGTTCAGACTTAATACAGTTCTATCATCCTCTTTTTGGAATTTTTCAGACAGTATTTTTAATCTGGTGTTTCATTTGAATTCCATTTCAAATCATATTGTGGCAAGGAGTGGAGGAAGCCAACCATGCGTGTGATAGGAAAGTGATAGGAACTGAATCTGAAGCAAAGAAATTGTTTGGGATATAAATGCAGAAGGATGTCTTTTAGACATTTGTTTATCACTGTGATATGCTACAGAGTGGAAATGAAACAAACTATGGGTTTGCTCAAGTATAACTAGATGTTGCGAGAAGTCATTCCCATAACAGGGCATTCAAGTAGTGTGAAAAAAATCTCCATCCCATGTTACTTACCTTAATGTTGATAAACTACAGTTGATCAAATATGGACCAATCTTGCTGGTATTCAATATCTGTTCCAACTAGGTTTAAAGAAAAAAAGATATTTATTGCTGGTAGTAAAAATACTATTGCTGACTATTTTATGAAAATCTTATGTGGTAGAGCAGCTGGGGTAAGCATGCATTTGTCTCCTCACCAATTTACAGAAGACTCCTTGTGTTGAGCTGAACAGCTTTGACTTGGGGTTGCCCATCTGTGGCCTATACCTCAAATTATTTACAGTGAAGTTGAGTGTAAAGCATTCAGTTGCCACTGGAGGTTTGGAAGTGGGAGAAACAGCTAGAAGAAAAATAATGGATCTCAGATATGGAAGCCAGAGTTGATGCAATATTATCAGTGTATCAATCACTGTTTGTATGTTTCGGCGGCTATTATGAACAGTGGTGTTTCAGTATTGGATAATTTAAGATAAGAAGCCGAAAGCACCAGCCTGAAGATGGCCAGTTGGACCTCATCGAAACGTTGCCAAGATACTCTCAATCTTACATGGGAAAATACCCGAACACGCCAAGACCTGCATACTTGTACCCATGAAAATCTACGAAAATCTACGGGTACAGGTATGCAGGTCTTGGCGTGTACGGGTCTTTTCAGTCGCATTAGTGTTAATCCAATGATAAATATTATTTCATTCCACTAATTTCAAATTCTGGTTACTTTTAAAAGCAAATTATTATACTTTTAAAAATGATTAGTTTTTGAAAATCATGCATTCATCCAATATATAGTATTTGGATATTTGCATTTCATTCACTTGCTCCTGCTGCCGCCACCACCACTGAACTTGAACTTCAGGCCAGAATAAATGTTGTCTGAAAATTGAAATCTATCTCCCTGATCTGAATACTTACTAAATGATGTCCGTACAAACGCCAAATAATTATTGTTTTCGGCACATGTAACAGCACTGGTTTGGGAGTTGCATTGGTTGCCAGTATCTTTCTAGATGCAATTCCAGGTGCTAGTTGTCACCCTTAAAGCCCTTCATAACTTGGGATTTGGTTACCTGATTCGTTTTTCTTTTTCCAATTGTTTCTATGGCTCCAATCTCATCCAGCAGGACCAGCATGCTCTGAGTCCCATCAATCAAGGAATGTCAGTTGTCAGGGACAAGGAGACATGCCTCCTGGAACATTCTCCCTCCAGAGATTAGGATAACCCTGACGACCCTCCTGGCCCTTCATAAGACCTTGAAACTATGCTGGGCTCTGTGTGAAGAGCCCCATTTCCTGGAAATGCTGACTATAATGATTATAATATATTTTGGCTACTATTTGTTTTTAATTTCTTTTTTTTGTATTGTCTTTTAACTGTTTAAGTATTTTTATAATTGTTTTCTGCCCACAGTGACTGGTTTGAGTTGGGCAGGTGTACAAATTACTGACAGACTGACTGACTGACTGGCTGACTGAATGAATGAATGAAAGTGAGGATTCCACCTTCAAGAATTCAACAGCAAGAGTGGTCATTTTTAAAAATGCTGGGCATTGAAGATCACAGATCAGGAAGTTATCAAGATTATGAAAGGCTGATTATTTTATTTATTTTATAAATAAGACTGTCTACTTACTTTCAATTGGAGTTGTGCTAAGTAATGTGGATGAAATATTGGATTTACCTGACATTTGCTCAGGGGTGGAAAGATGTCTGGAACTGCTTGTGGGAGTTTTAGATGTCACTTCTGACGAAGCAGAAGCGGTGGTCATTGGTGGACTCGTCGGAGTCATGCTAGTCTCTGAAAAACCTGTAGAGGACACTGTGCCCTCTGGAGTTGGTGTTGTGGTTTTCGAAATGGAAGAAGTTACTTGGGCCTTTGCTGATACCGTAGAAGGCACTGAACTCATTGGAGAGCTGGCTGCTTCTGACGTGACAGATACAGGTGTGGTGGCCTCTGGAGAAATAGTTAAGTGTTTTGTGGTGATAGGATGTGGAGTAGTGGTTTCTGAAGACGTAGTAGTCTTTATAGAGCTGGAGGTCATTGTGGTCTCTGGGGGAGAAGTGGCTGTTGCTGTTGTAGTGGTTTCCAACGTGGAGGTGTGTGCAGAAGTAGTTAAGTATTCCTTGGTCGTTGGAAGTTGAGTAGTGGTTTTTGTAGTACTACTACTAATTGAGGAGCTCTCTGGGGAAGAGCTGGAGGGCTTTGTGGTCTCTGGGCCAGAGGTGGACGTTTGCTCGGGGGTAGAAAGAAGGCTGGAACTGCTTGTGGGAGTTATAGATGTCACACTACTTGACGAAATAGAAGCGGTGGTCATTGGCGGACTCGTCGGAGTCATGCTAGTCTCTGAAAAACTTGTAGAGGACACTGTGCCCTCTGAAGTTGGTGTTGTGGTTTTCGAAATGGAAGAAGTTACTTTGGCCTTTGCTGATGCCGTATAAGGGACTGAACTCATTGGAGAGCTGGCTGCTTCTGACGTGACGGATACAGGTGTGGTGGCCTCTGGAGAAGTAGTTAAGTGTTTTGTGGTGATAGGATGTGGAGTAGTGGTTTCAGAAGACGTGGTAGTCTTTATAGAGCTGGAGGTCATTGTGGTCTCTGGGGGAGAAGTGGCTGTTGCTGTTGTAGTGGTTTCCAACGTGGAGGTTTGTGCAGAAGTAGTTAAGTATTCCTTGGTCGTTGGAAGTTGAGTAGTGGTTTTTGTAGTACTACTACTAATTGAGGAGCTCTCTGGGGAAGAGCTGGAGGGCTTTGTGGTCTCTGGGACAGAGGTGGACGTTTGCTCGGGGGTAGAAAGAAGGCTGGAACTGCTT